CGAAGCCATTGATACCAAGTCACTGTTGGATGCTTCTGAAGAAGCAATTTAAAAAGACCTGGACAAGTGTAAGGTAGCCATGGCCAAGATTCAGCCTCAGATGCTGGTTGCTGGGGCAACCAGCACTGCTTGTCAGGCTAACCGGATCCTACTGGTGGCTAAGAGGGAAGTGGAGAACTCTGAAGATCCTAAGTTCCGTGAGGCTGTGAAAGCTGCCTCTGATGAACTGAGCAAAACGATCTCCCCAATGGTGATGGGTGCAAAGGCTGTGGCCGGAAACATTTCTGACCCTGGGCTGCAGAAGAACTTCCTGGACTCGGGATATCGGATCCTGGGAGCTGTGGCCAGGTCAGAGAAGCCTTCCAACCTCAGGAACCTGACTTCCCGCCACCTCCACCAGACCTTGAACAGCTCTGTCTAACAGATGAGCTTGCTCCTCCCAAACCACCTCTGCCTGAGGGTGAGGTCCCTCCACCCAGGCCTCCCCCTCCAGAAGAGAAGGATGAAGAGTTACCTGAGCAGGAAGCCGGGGAGGTGATTAACCAGCCAATGAAGATGGCTGCCAGGCAGCTCCATGATGAAGCTTGAAAATGGTCCAGCAAGGGCAATGACATCATTGCAGCAGCCAAGCACATGGCTCTGCTGATGGCTGAGATGTCTTGGCTGGTAAGAGGAGGCAGTGGTACCAAGCGGGCACTCATCCAGTGTGCCAAGGACATCGCCAAGGCCTCGGATGAGGTGACTCGATTGGCCAAGGAGGTTGCCAAGCAGTGTACAGATAAGTGGATTAGAACCAACCTCTTACAGGTGTGTGAGCGAATCCCAACTATAAGCACCCAGCTCAAAATCCTGTCCACAGTGAAGGCCACCATGCTGGGCCAGACCAACATCAGTGACGAGGAGTCTAAACAGGCCACAGAGATGCTGGTTCACAATCCCCAGAACCTTATGCAGTCTGTGAAGGAAATTGTGCGAGAGGCAGAAGCTGCTTCAATCAAAATCCGAACAGATGCTGGATTTACACTGCGCTGGGTCAGAAAGACTCCCTGGTACCAGTAGGCATCTAGTGTACCTTCTGCTGGTACAGAAACCCCTACTGAAGAGGAGAGCAATCTGAGTTCCAGGAGCCACCCAGAATTGTTGGGATTTGAAAGCTGCTTCCTGGCCTCATGAATCAGGAAGAAATGAGGGCCTCTTCAAAACATTTATATTCTTTTGTCATGGACACTTTGAAATGTATCTCCATATAAATCCTGTATTCTCGAACACAGTTATGTTCATGCACACTCTATCCTAGTAGGACTGGGTCTCTAGCCATGGACTTCACATAAGCTCAGAATCCAAGCGTGAACACTAGCCAGACACCTTGCTGTGCCGATGTCCCCCAGGGGACACTGCTCTCTCCCTGCTTCCCTTTCACCGGCCCCCACACTCCTCTTCAGGCTCCCAAGATCCAGGCCCCAAGCAAATCAGTTAAGAAGAAAATCACTGTACCTCTACAGATTGTTTAGGGCTTTCCATGTTGCTGCTGACCCCGCCTGCCTTCCCTGGGCTGTTGTGCTACCCGGAGCCTTTTCAGAAGTAAGCTTTGCTGCTGGAGAAAAAGGTAGCCTTCGGGGAGCCCCATCCTGTTTCTTGCCCTTCCCAATTAAATCCTGGTTTCTAACATTAAAAAAACAAATTTCACTGTCAGGAGGAAATCGCAGAATCACATGATTCTGTCTTTATGATGACCTGAGCAATGCCTGTGCTAGGGCAACTTCCTGTCCCATGTCCTGCCTCAGCCTGCCAAGGTAACTGTCCCACAAACACACTGTGTCCTGGTGCTCTCTGCCACTGGAAGGGCAGAGTAGCCTGGGTGTGGCCCTGCCCGCCCTCCCAGTAGGGCCATGCTCAGGAGGTCCACGCTTTGTCACTGCCTGCAGAGATCTGTGTGGAGGCCTTATCATTTATTCTTAGCTCTTAATTGTTCTTTCTGAGCTGAAATGCTGCATTTAATTTTTAACCAAATCATGTCTCCTGGCTTTTGTAGTCTTCTCCTATACCGTTCCTAAACAAGATTTTAAAGATACGTAGGTGTGTGTTTGTCTGTAATTTTCTGTTTTGAGATGGGGTCTCTTCTGTTGCCCAAACTGGTCTTGAGCTCCTAGCTCGAGGGATCATCATAGTTCAGCTTCCCAAGGAACTGGGAGTATGGGTGTGCACCACTGTGCCTGGCTTCATCGGTAATTGTGAAAGAGCCTTTTCATCTCATCTTTTTGAAATTGTGTCCTAAGAACTAGTGCTTTCCACCTAAGAGTATTTAATGGAAAGGTCATACTGTCTGAAGGATACTTTCTACCTAAGGGAGAGTGGTATTTGCAGACTAAATCTGGGTGCTGCTGGGGTTAAATGGATGGGAAGTACTTCTCCTCTGTAATTCCTACCTCCATTCAACCAACTATAATCAGGTTCCTTGTATCCTCTCCTAAATATAGCTGATTAAGACAGTAATAAGTATAGTATTTAATTATTAATACAGAAAGTTCCCTACTAAGCAAAGTGAGAGAAGGGAACTTTTTCTATTTTTGCACTTATCACCACTGTTTAAGCATTCCCCAGTACATAAAACTATATTTCTTCACAATCCCAGAACTAGATGAGGAAAGGAGTAAGACCCCTTGTCTGAATGTCCATCCTTCTCACCCACAATGTATGTTAGATTCCAACATCAAATGTATAAAACCTGTCTTAAGTTGGTCCTGTTCACTCAGCCTTCCTGTACTTCTTTTAACTGATGAAAGATTATTTTCAAGGCCCTCCTTAGCATATTTGTATAGTTGTTTACCTGATAGAAATGCAATATTAATGCCTTTAAAAGTACAAATCTATGCCAAAGAAGCAAAAATTAAATAAAATAAAAATAAAGTAAAAAATTTAAAAAAAAACCAAAAAACACAAAACTGGCTGAATTCTGCATTGTTAGGAATGATACAGCCTCCTTCACCTGTGGACACCAGTGCTTGTCCCTCACACCAATCCAGTTTAGAACAGCTAAAAATAAATAATCAGAGCTTCCACTGGAGCACTTTTCTGAAGATAGTACATTATTATCTCCTGGTGGCACCCAAAATTGAACTGAAAACGGGGACTGCTTCCCTTAACAGCCAAGGCAGTGCTGCATGATAATGTATCCATTCAGGTCTCTCACCAGATCCGCATTATCCTTGACTTCACTGGGATTTTTCAACTTAATTCTGAGGGCAGCCTCCACAGGCTTTCATTCTGTGTCTTACTTATAGGAAATGCTTGGTGAAGGAGGGACCCATGCTGAAATACATCTCTGAGATGGTCAGTTGAGTTAGATAAAGGATCCATTATCTCAGACTAAATTGTAATTCATCTGCAGTTTGGCCACTTTTGTTTTCCTGTTGTCCAAAAACTATATGGTTTGCATGGTAAACCACATTTTGTTTATTACTTAAATAAGTAAATGATAAACTGACTACCCTTCAGAGACAAATTCTGGCTCAGGGAAGAAGTTCCAGACCAGGGTATAGTACCAAGAGCCAGAAAACCAACACAATGCTTACCTACTGTCTACTGTGAATTTTTTCAGCCACTGTGCTCGGTAACTGCCTGAGAAATAGTGGAAGCAGTTGAAGATATTTAATTTGTAAGAAAGGGAAAAGTTTGACATCTTCAAACTTTTAAAAAATTAGAACAGTATTAGAACAGTATGGCACATGTGTTATTTGTTTTTCTTTTAGGACAAAAGATGAAGTTGATTTTTCTAAATGAAACCCTCAATATTCAGGTTTAGTTGCAATGTTGGCACTTCTTGATAAATAAGTGGGTTTGGGGTTGCAGTTTGAGCATTCCTCTTTAGGAGCTTTGCCATCACTGCCTTAGAGTATTGCTATTAAGGTAGCTTCTAACTCTAACATCTGTGGTTCTACCATCTAGGACTCTAGTCCTGCCACTAACTGCCATCAGGAGCAGGCTCCTTGTCTGCAGAATGGGGCTGATAAACCTCTATCCACCTTCCTGGGTTGCTGGGAGGGTAAAGTATATACCTGAGATAAAGTATATAAAAGCAGTCTGTAAGACTGCAGAGCACAAGTTAAATGTGTGATGAAGATTAAAACTGTGGTATGCACAGTTGTTCAGGAGTCTCCCCTTGCCCTCTTCCACACTCTCTGTCAGAGATACATGATTATCCTCATTTCTCCCAGTCTGGCTTTCCTGGGAAGGGGGCAGCTGGCAGAATTCCCTGGCAACAAAGGATCCACCAAGAGGTGAAGGCCTGAAGAGAACCTCAGCTCCTTGGCTTCAGCCTGTTCTCCTTGGTTTGTTTGGGAGGAGACAGTTCTCAGTCATACTGTGTTCGTATTCTTTCCCTCAGAAGGAACTGCAAGGTGCCTTGGTGGTGTTGGATTCCCGGGTGGTAACCCTGCTCTGGGGTCTCCAGTAGTGCCACTTCCACCTGCCAGAGGCCTTCTGTGTAATCCAGGTGACAGAGCAGCTGCCCCTCCTGCAGCCCCTGCAGCCCCCAGGTCACTCCTCTACTTCTGTTGTACAGACCTCAGTTTCCTAAATATAAAAGACAGAACTCTTACAAGGCTTACCATATTTTAATATAGGATTTTTACTCATTTTTGTTTTTTTGAGACAGGGTCTTGTTTGTAGTCCAGACCCCAGGTGCTGGGATTACAGTATGGGCCACCATGCCTGGCTTTGTTTTTTTTCTTAAACTCATCCAGTTCTATAGATTGTTCATAGGAAGCAGCAAGAGGGGATGTCTTAGTCTCCTCACCTATAAAATGAGGGGATCGGACTACCTCAAAACTGACTCACTCTAGAATGAAAGGATTCAGAAACACCACCGCCCCTACTGTGTCAGGCATTCAGCATGGTTATTATTGGGAATCAGTAGGGAGGAGAAACACAAAAGACCCTGTGAAGTTAGGCAGGCTGTGTGCAGCCACAATGCTGAAATCCTTCCTCTTTTTCTTCCACAGTTTCTAGAACTCCTCTCCAGAACTCCTCTCGAAATATGTACAGGGTCCAGGCCCCTTTGGCTCCACTCCACACTCCTGAACTCTAAGGATCCCCTGGCTCTCCTTCTCTGTGTGGCCAGGACAGCTCTCCTGTGTGTTCACAGTTGCCCACTTGTATACCCACCCTCCTGTCACCACAGAAGACTCTTGGGCAAGGTAGGCGTGGATGTGAGGTGCCCACACCGCAGTGGCTGGGACATGGAGGAGCTCACCCTCTGAGTTTTCCTTCCAGAGACGTGTTCAGAGTGGCAGGGCCCAGGTCCTTTCCTTGCTGAGAGTCGCAGCAACCTGTAGGCCTCCCAGAGCCTCACTGTCAGTGGATTGTAAACTCCATCTCACAGGGGCATTGTGAGGATCAAAGAGCTGATGTTAGATAAAGCACCTAGACTGGCATGGCACCTGTGAAGCACTCAATAAATCACTCTCCTCCTTTCCCTGTGTTTTTTCTTTGAATTGTCCAAAAGGCTTGATGAAGTCAGCTGTCCACAGGTTTTCCCTGGTGGTTCATTTTTACTTTTCTATTGAGATTCAATTTATAGAAGCAAACATTTTAAAAACCTAGTTTTACCTTAGACTTTTAAGTGCATCTTAAACATCTATTGTTCTACTTATCAACCTATATTAAAAAATAGTTTTTAGAAGGATTTTTACAAACTCAGATTTCCTTAAAGATTTAAAAGTGGATTTATAAATGTAATGTATTCTCTTTTTTCATAAATACATCAACCTATATTCTGATTATCTACTGCTGTGCAATGCTTATCCCTATAGTAGGATTTAAAATGGTCACAACAGTTTCTTTTGCTCATGAATGTGGGACTCCCCTGGGTTCCTTGAGATGGTCCTCACTTAGGGCTTCTCATGCTGTTGCTCAGTCAGCTCTGGCTGGGGCTGGAATGATCAGAGAGCCTCTTCACTCACCTGTCTGGGCCCAGACTGGCAAGACTCCCACAGCTGAGGGGAGGAACTGCTGGGAACCCCCCCACATCTCAATAGCTTGTTCATTTTTTGTTGCTGTATAGTACTCTGTTGTATGAATATACCACTGCACCTCGTTTATCCAGTCTAGTGTTGATGGACACTTGGGTGGTTTCTAGCTTGGGGCAATTACAAGTAGTACTGCTGTGACATCCTTGTATGTATGCGTGGGTATACATATGTACATAGTTCTTGAATACATATGCCTAGGCATGGAATTTCTCAGACACTGGGTATGTATATGTTCAACTATAGAAAACACAGCTGAACAGCGTTCCTAAGACATTGTACCAGTTTACATTCCCATTCACAATGTAGAAGAGCTCCAGGTGCTTTTTACCCTCTCCAATAGTTGTCATCGTCATTTTTTTTTTCCATTGTAGCCATTTGGGCATAGTTAACAGAATATCATTGTGGATTTAACTTTCACCTCCTGAGGAATAATATAATTGAGTGCCTTTTCCTTTCTTTTCTTTCATTTTTTTGTCATATGGATACCTTCTATTGAAGAGTATCTATTCTAGTTTCTGTATCTATATCTATCTATATCTCAGTTATGAAGTAAGGATCAAGATTCCTTGTTTTCCATGTGGATCCAAGTGACTGAGCAGTACAGTATGTATTAAGAAGAATTTCCACTAGTGTACAGTGTTCCCTTTGTCAGAAGTCAAATGTCCCCATGTCTGTAGGTCAGTTTCTGGATCTTCTATTCTGTTCCATTGTTCTATTTTTCTGTCCTTGGACAATACCAACTTTTAACTATCATAGCTTTTTAATGGATTTTGGTATCAAACATTTTTCCTCTTCAGGTCTTGGTTATGCTTGGTGTTTCACTTTGTATTTCCATATAAATTTTAGAATCTACTTTTCAATTTTGACCAAAAAAATAAACTTGCTGAGCCAGGGATTTAGCTCAGTAGTTCTGCTGCCTGCCTTGAAAGCGCAAGGTCCCAAGTTCGAGTTTGATCTCCAGTAACAGCAACAACAACAAAAAAAAACAAAAAAAACTTGCTAGGATCTTTTTTTTTTTTCTTGGACTAGGGATTGAGCCCAGGGTGTTTGCACTGACCTATATACTTAGCCCTTTTTTGTATTTTTTTATTTTGGTAACGGCCTCACTACATTAAGTTGCCCTGAGCTGGGATTAAACTTGTGATCCTCCTGCTTCAGCTTCCCAGAATGCTAGGATTACAGGTGTGCACCACCATGCCTGGCTCTGCTGAAATTTTTATTCAAATTGCATTTGCACTATGGATCAAGTTGGTAAAGAATTGATATCTTTTAATACTGATTTATCCACCTATGAACATAGGTTTAGTACTTCATTTGTTTTGGTCTTCTTTATTTGGTCTCAACAACTTTATGCAGAGTTTTAAAAATATATATATTTCTACATATTTGATGAATTTGACATGATTATAAATGCTGTCATTTAATTTTTTACTAATTTTATATTGCCGCTATGTATAATATGATTGATTTTTGGACCTTCAACTTCAATTTAATGACCTTGATAAATTCACTTATCAATTCTAATCATTAATCCATAGCTATTTCTTCCTTTTCAACTTATACCTTTTTCTTCTTTCATCTCCTGTTTCACTGGGTAACACCTACAGTATGGGGATGAATATGAACAGTAATAGAAGATATCTTTCACTTATGCCTGACCTCCAGGAAAACATTTTCAATATTTTATCATTTATATGATATGTGGTATTAGGTTTTTAGAATAATTTATTAGATTAAAGAAGTTTTCTATTCCTAATTTGCTGATTTAAAACATCATAAATGAATTTCATTTTATCAAATTATTTTCTGCGCTCATTGAAATTATTTTCTCCTTTGTTCTATAAATGTTGTGAATTATACAAGTAGATATGTGAATGTTAGAAAAAATCCTTTATATTCCTAGAATAAAGCCAATTTATTCCTGGAATAAACCCAACTTGATTATGATGTAATTTCTTTTTACGTGTTTCTGGACTTTGAAAATATTTTATTTGGGATTTTTGCATGTATGTATCTGCTAATAATATAACTGTCATCTTGAGAATCAAGGTTATGCTGGCTTTGCAAAATGAGTCCATAAGCCTGTCTGTCTGTCTGTCATCTGTCTCTCTGTCTCCTCTGTCTCTGTGTGTGTCTCTCTCTCTGTCTTTCTCTCTGTGTCTCTGTCTCTCTCTCCCACTTTTTCTTCTAATTTTTGAATCCTACCACACTTATCTTACCCTCTACTCACCACACCTTGTTCTTCCTCCAGTTGTGCATGCCCAAAACCCATCAGTCATCAGTCCCGACAGTTCTGTCTTCAAGACACATCCTGAACTCAACACACCCTCTCCACTGCTACCACCAATCTAAACTGGCATTGCTTCATACCTGGATCACCTACGACAGACCTATGACTGACCATGTGATTTCTCCTGTCCTCTGTCCCTCTAATCCATTCCAGATACAGCAAACTGCTCATTCAAACTTGCAGGAGTCTGAATGCTTTTACCACAAAGAAAATAAATAAATGAGTGTATATAAGATCTCATCACTCTCTAGCTTTAAATTTCAAGTTATCTCCTATTACACAGAATAAAATCTAAACTTCTTACCATGTGATATTAGTCAGGGTTGACTGCTGAATAGTTCCAAGGTTTATGTCTGTTTTACTCAAAGTCCACTGAGAGTCTGTGTGACTCATAAGAGGAACTGTGCCTCAGGCTGTGACTCAGTGATTGAGCCAGGCTTAACCTCAGGCGCTGCCATTGGCGAGAAGCAGCAGCCCACGTCCCAGTGCCAGCTCTCCTCTTCTTTAGCCCAGAAGTGGCCATAGTCACTTCTGCCCACAGACCATTGACAAGAACTAGTCACACAGGTGCATGTAATCAATCTCAGCTCTGTTGATTAAAGGGTGACAGCTGTGGGGACACAGGTGGTGCCAGATGAGCACCACTCTTTTACCCACTGATGAGCACAAGGCCCTGCCTGCCCGTCCCTCCAGCCACACCTTGTGCTGCTTTCACTCACTATGTGCAGCCACTCTCATCTTTTTACTGCTCCTGAGGAATGTCCATCCCTTTTATGCTTGGGTTCGTTTGTCTACAAAGCTTTTTGCTCATGCCTTCTCCAGCTTCTCATCCAGTTCCCAGCTCACACATCACCAGCCCAGCTGAGAGACCCATCTCATGAAATCGTTACTCTGTCCTCATGCCCTGAATAGAGGTTCAGAGGCCTATTTCCTCCTTCCCCTCCTTTTATGATCCCAATTATGTGCTTGGTAGAACTTAGGTGTCCCATATGGCTCTTAGGTAGTTTTCTCTTTTCTAGGGAAATCATATTATATATTTATTCTATCTCTCCCATGCACATTTCATGGTAGAAGGTCCCTGGCAGTCTTAAGTGATTAAATTGCTCTCCTATCAACCATTGAGGGCTGTTTCATAGAGTAAATGAAGGAATAATAAACAACAAGAGCACATTGTACATTGCAAATTGAGTCTCCTTCTTCCGTGGGTGTGGTACCCTCCCTGACCTAAAGGATCACCAAGGTAGGGCTGTTGTCCCACACTTGTGGTATAGAGGAGTGGTTCTGGATGATGGAAGGATCAGACCTTGTAGAGTAGAAGTTGTGTTTTTATTACCTGATGGTATAAGTAAGGCAAAGGACATTTGGATTTAAATATGATTTTTAGGTAAATTTGTGTGTTTTAAAAATTAAACACAAGTTCCTTTATATATTTGAAAAATAGTATCACATATATAATGATGTGATCCAAAAAATGGTGAATGTTTTTTAAAAAATGTTTAAATTTATTGCAATAAAAGACACATTACATAAGTCCCCCTCATAATATTTCTCCTCACTTTGAACTTATTTATCCCATCGTTTTTGGCATTTTCTGGAAGACCTTCTTTGTGTCTTTAATTGTTCTGTCACAGCTGTCTCAATTCCTGAATACATTCAAAACATTTACATTTTGCTATGGTTTAGATCTAAAATGTCCCCCTTTGGTGGGGCACTTGGTGGGAAGAGGCAGGTCACTGGGGGTGTGACTTGGAAGAGTGTGCCTTCATTCCCATCTTCTCCTTTTACTCTCTGCTTCCTGGCTGCCATGTGGTGAACAGATTTCCTCCACTATGCATTTCCACCAAGCCATTTCTGCCTCAGAACTGGTTAAGCATGGATTGAACTCACTGAAACTGTGAGCCAACATAAACCTCTCCCTCTTTAATTTGCAGGTGTCAGATATTCTGTTTCAGCAATGAAAAAAGTGAATAATACATAAAATGGGTACTGGAGGTGAAGCTGTTGCTGTGACTGTACCTGACCATGTGATTTAGAAGCCTTTGGAATT